ATGCACTGTCACATGACTCTCACATATACACAATAGTAAGAAAAGTAAAGTTGTTATTCTTCATCTAAATAGCTTCAAAAAGACTACCTCATACCTCAAGCTATCTAAGTTTCATCATAAACTAATATTCTATTATCTTCTAAGGATAAATCTGGCTGTTAGACGAAAGACTGGATGATATACATTACTTACAGAGGCATTCAAATCCCTTTCATAAAGTAAAAAAAAAATGCAAAAGATAAGTTAATAAAAAAAAAATTTGTACTAAATTATGGGACTACACTAAATTTATAAATCAGCTCGGAACCAATAACTAGTATCTGAAAATGATTTCATGATTGGATTCCTTACATTAAAAATTCAATCAGAGATCAAAGAATAGCAACTGCCCCTAGCTCTAATAGAAAATGGGCCAGAGAAAGAAAAACGAAAAAAAACTTTGCTACAACTGAAAGTTTAAAAACTACTTGGATCAATTTTTGTTATTCCCCAAGGTCTATATTTGTCATTTTTATGCAGTGTCAAGATGATAAATAACTGTTTTCCTTGAGCAGACTCCATATTCTCTCTCCAGGTAGATTACACTCTGTGTAATAATAGTAGTGAGTAACACTGCTTCGTGTTCTCTCTCATATATTTACATCATTCAATTCTCCATAACACATCTTTCACTGCGTGTAACTACAGGTAGGAAGATGTTCCTACAAATAAACACAGTGTCCTCCCTAGAGAAAACCCTTGTCTTCTCCAAGGCATGACTGATGGAAGTAATTTTCACCCTTGTGGATCTGGGAGTATCCTGCAGGAGCTCACAAACAAGCCCCTACCAGAAGGTCCATTGAGTTAATCTCATGTAAGTGCTTTCTGGCCTTAAGATGAGCCATATGCATACCATGAAGCCCAACAACAGCCTATGGAAAGACTTTCCTGTCACTTGGTCCTCAGCCATTTTTTTCTCCTATGACAAGACATTCCCCTGACCCACCCTTTAGCTAAAACTTTTTCATGGCAAGATTCACTTCACCTTGATCCAGAGGGTTAAGGCACTATGGTGTTTTTAGCTTGAAGCTTTGCCAGAAAATAAAAACAATAGCCCCCTAAAATGTATTTTTGAGCGTACTGTGAGTGTTACAACTGGTCAAAGATAATGACAGAATTAACAAAAACAGTACTATCATGACAAAAAACATCAGAACAAAATTATGATAATGATCATCATCAAAATATCAAACCTCTAGATTTGGGTGCCCCACTACCTGTGCAAGGTCCAAAATCTGACCATTAGGCATTAGGAGAGTCACCACACAAGTAACTGAGTGGTGCTGTCCCATCTGTGTTGCTTACAGGCGTAGCCAACACTAACACTCAAGTACGGTGTCAAGACTCCTTGTCTCCCCTTTGCAATGTTGTCTCATTTCACACTCAAATTACTTGATTTCACATCTGGACTCACTTGGAATACAATTTCTGGCATGAAATGCCTATTATGAAAAAAAAAAAAAAAAAAAAAAAAAAAAAAAAAAAAAAAACTATCTTCCAGATTTTCTTCAAATTTGGATATATTTTGTAATTTAGTATTCTGCACCTTTTGTTACTAAATTTATATAAATCCCCCAAAAGGAAGCGAAGCCCCTCTTAAAAAAAAAAAATTCCACCAATTTTTCCACATACATCGCTTGCATACCGATATTGGCCCATAATGATGCATACTTTACAGTGAAAAAAATCAACACAATTGGTGATAAAATCCAAAATTTCTACAAAATTTTACCTTAGTTTTCTCAAAATATTGAGAAAATAAATAAAAATAAAAAATTTACTTTTCAGATTTTCAAAAATTTGCCAAAAATAAAACACTGACTTTTCTAAAAACAGCGACATCAGTTTTTGCACATCTTTAATAGCTTTCAAATGATACTAACAAAATTAAAAATCACATTAGAACTATTCACGAATAGTGGTACGGAAGATCAGATTTTTAATTTTCTTTACAAAAAAAAAAAGATTGGAGATGTTCCCATATTTTAATACTTTCTTCTTTTCTTCATTCTAAAACCCTCACATTGGTAGGACTTTGTTATCATAAGACACTTTCATCTTCCTGTGACTTATTTCAGTAGGTAATGTCCAAAAAAGAATGTTTCATTTTTCCTCTAGTTAGGGATAAATACATATGTGTAAAAATTGGAGACACCGCGATTGACTGGGTAGGATTCACGAACCCTGTCAGAGCCAAGTTTTTCTATGCAGAGGATTATATTCAACATGAGTAATTCTACAATAATATAACTGTCAAAATGGGTTTAACTCACTTTCAACATATTCAACTGCCCCAGACCCCACTACCCCCACTGTTTTTAGGGGGGGTAAAAACATAATTAACATTAACATTCATAATTGGATTCGTTTTCATAATAATAGTATTCATTTTCATAATAATAATGTTAATGTTATCATTATAAATAATTTTAATAACTCATAAAAACAATAGCAACAATAACAATAACAATAACAATGACAGTGACGATGACGATGACGATGACGATGACGATGACAATGATAATGATAATAATAATTGCAATACTACTACTACTAATAATAATAATAAAAATGACAATATCAATAATATTAGTAGCAGTAGTAGCAGTAGTAGCAGTAGTAGCAGTATTAGTAGTACTATTATTACTATTACTATTATCATTATTGTTATTATTATTACTACTATTTTTCTCATTATCAAAATCATAATAAATATTAATAATTATGATTATAATAATGATAACGATAACAATAATACTAATACTAATATTAATATTAATATTAATAAAAATGATAATAATAATAATAATAATAATAATAATAATAAGAGGAAGAACAATAATAATAATAATAATAAAAATAATAATAAAAATAATAATAGTAATAAAAAATAACATAATAATAACAATAATAATAACAATAACGATAACGATAACGATAACGATAATAATAACATAACTATGAAAAATAACAATAACAATAACAAATAATAATAATAATAAAAACAATAACAATAATTAAAAAATCTTTGTAAAAAAAATATGATAATAATAACAAAATAAAAATAAGAATAGCATTAACAATAACATTAATAACGATGATAACAACACGATAAGAACAACAATAATAATACAATAACAATAATAACAAATAACAAAACAATAACAATAACAATAACAATAATAATAATAAAATAATAATAATAATATAATAATAATAATAATAAATAATAACAAAACAATATCAAAAACAATAATAACAAACACAATAACAACAATTAGAAGAAGAAGATGATAATGATGATAATGATAACAATATCAACAATAATAATAAAAATATTAACAATAACAATAAGAGCAATAACAATAACAACAATGATAAAAGTAATAAACATAATGAAATCAATTATGATCACCACAAAAGCAATGACAAAACAAAAAACAAAAAAATTAAATAATAATAAATAATAATAATAATAATAATAATAATAATATAATAATAATAATAATAATAATGAATAACAATAATAATAATATAACATAATAATAATAATAATAATATATAATAATATATAATATCATAATAATAATAATAATAATATTATTATTATTAATAATAATAAAAATAAAAATAACAATAACAATAACAATAACAATAACAATAACAACAATAACAATAATAAAAATAAAATAATAATAATAAAATAATAATAATAATAATAATAATAATAATAATAATAATAATAATAATAATAATAATATCACAAACAATAACCAGAAAAAAAATAAGAAGAAAACATTTACGATAATAATATTGGTAATGATGATAATGAAACTGAGGATGATATTGATAACAAAAATAATAAAGATAAAAATAAACATAAAGATAGGTAATGATAATGATAATGATAACAATAATAATAATAATAATAATAATAACTATATTAATAATAATAATAATAATAATAATAATAATAATAATAATAATAATAATAATAATAATAAATAAAATAACAATAGAAATAACAACAATAACAATAACAATAACAATAACAATAACAATAATAATAATAATAATAATAATAATAATAATATATAATGAATAATAATAATAATAATGATAATAATAATAATAATAATAATAATAATAATAATAATAATAATAATAATAATAATAATAATAATAATAATAATAATAATAATAATAATAACAATAATAACAATAATAACAATAATAATAATAATAATAATAATAATAATAATAATAATAATAACAATAATAATAATAATAATAATAATAATAATAATAATAATAATAATATCAATAATGATGATAATGATAATAATGCTTATGAAGAAGAAGAAGAAGAAGAAGAAGAAGAAGAAGAAGAAGAAGAAAAGATCAACAATAATTAAAACAATAAGAATAATAAAAACAATAATTAAAACAATAAGAATAATAAAAGTAACAATAACAATAATAATGATAATGATGATAACAATAACAATAATAATAACAATAACAACAATAATAATAACAACAATAATATCAATAACAATTTTAATAATAATAATAACAATAAAATCATCATCATCATCATCATCATCATCATCATCATCATCATCATCATCATCATCATCATCATCATCATCATCATCATCATCATCATAGCAATAGCCATAACAATAATAACAATAACAATAATAACAATAATAACAATAATAACAATAATAACAATAACAAAAACAATAACAATAATAAAAACAATAATAAAAACAATAACAATAACAATAATAAAAGTAACAATAACAATAATAATGATAAAAATGATGATGATGATGATGATGATGATGATGATGATGATGATGATGATGATGATGATGATGATGATGATGATGATGATGATGATGATGATAATAACATAAAAGAACAATAATAATAATATTAACAATATATATTAT